GAAGGAAGGAAGGAAGGAAGGAAGGAAGGAAGGAAGGAAGGAAGGAAGGAAGGAAGGAAGGAAGGAGAAGGAGAAGGAGAAGGAGAAGGAGAAGGAGAAGGAGGGAGGCAGGGAGATTAGAATGAGAAGGAAAGAGAAAGTTTATTAGAAGTCCTACCTTAACACTCGGCCACCAGCAGCCCAGCTGCCCTCTCGCCATCCCCTTGCTCCCTCCTCCTGGCCTCTCCTGATGATCTCCCATCCTATTGCTGAGGATGCTTTGCTTAGAAAGCCGAGTCTCCTTACATGGAGAGGGGGTGGGCTTCCCTCTGACTCACGCACATGCACCATGAGCAACCTGGCCAAGAATAGTGAGCACAGCAGCAATAGCCTCAAGGAGGCGGTAAGCAAGTTGGGCACCCCCTCAGGGAAGTGGGGTTGGGCTGGGCTGCAGAGCCCTGGTGCCCTGGGACCTAAAGGGCTGGGATGGCAACTTGCCCTCTGCTGCCCAGGGCTCCGGGCAGCCCACCGCTGTCCTGGGGTCTCTGTGTGGCCTGAGAGGGACACCAAGGCTCCTCTGGTGGACGAGGCTTTGGCACTCACCTTGGTCACCTCCACTAGAGACCTCTGGATCCCCCCTCTAAGCCTCACCTGGCCCCACACAGGAGGCAGAGGCATCCTCTGCCTCCTGTGTGGGAGCGCAGAGGATGTGGAAGCGCAGAGGATGTGGAAGCGCAGAGGATGTGGAAGCGCAGAGGAGAAAGTTTGCAGAAAGCAGTTTCCTCTGAGTCCAACTTCTGGCTTGACAGATCTCTGGAGAGGAGGAGGGCGTGGCAGGGAGTTGCATGAGGGAAGGCTGCCCCAATAAGCCTGTATCCTTACCACACACGATTGGAAATGGGGATTCCCTTTTGAGAATGGACAGCCTCCTTCGTGCAGAACTGGGGAGCACTGCTCCCCTGCCTCCTCCTCTTGCTTTCCAGAGATTTGTCAAGGCAGAAGTTGGACTCAGAGAAAGCTGCTTCCTGGAAACTTTCTCCTCCATGATTCCACACGCAGCAGCAGCATCCTCCACCTTCTGCTTTGCCAGGATGGGGCACCAGACAGGGAAATGCCAACAATGTCTGGGACTGAGGGAAGAACATCTTTGGCGCACTGCACGCACATGTGTGCGCGCACACGTACACTATTTCAAGCTTGGAGACTTTTATTCTCATCTAAGCTTGCAAACTGTCAATCATGCCTGGCCTTGGGTAAAAGTGTGTGTGTGTGTACACACATCCATGCTTGGCTGCCAGCAGTTTGGGGAGGCGAGGAGTTTGTGAGGCACCGAATTGTCCCCATGACGAGTTAGCCAGTGCAATTTGTTCCATTTATTTTATTTATTTATTAATTTAATTTGTATACCGCCCTTCTCCCAGAAGGGACTCAGGGCGGTGAACAGCCAAAATTAAAAAACATACAAATGCAAAAGTTAATATAATTAAAAGAATTAAATCATTGGCTACCCAAATTTAAAACCCCAAATCCATAAAATTTAAAATCCCAATTAAAACCATTTAGGCTAGGCCGGCTTGATGAAATAAAAACGTCTTCAGGGCTTTACGGAAGGTCCGGAGGTCCGGGATCAATCGTACTCCAGGAGGCAGCTCATTCCACAGGGCGGGTGCCCCCACAGAGAAGGCTCGCCCCCTGGGGGCCGCCAGCCGACATTGCCTGACCGACGGCACCCCGAGGAGGCCCTCTCTGTGAGAGCGTATTGGCCGGTGGGAGGTTATCGGTAGCAGCAGGCGGTCTCGCAAATACCCTGGCCCTAAGCCATGGAGTGCTTTAAAGATGAGAACCAACACCTTAAAGCGCACCCGGAAGACCACCAGGAGCCAATGCAGCTCGCGCAGGAGAGGTGTTACGTGGGAGCGCCACGTCGCTCCCATAATCACCCGCGCAGCCGCATTCTGCACCAGCTGGAGCCTCCGGGTGCTCCTCAGGGGGAGCCCCATGTAGAGAGCGTTACAGTAGTCCAGGCATGACGTAACCAAGGCATGAGTGACTGTGCACAAGGAGTCCCGATCCAGAAAGGGGCGCAACTGGCGTATCAGGCGAACCTGATAAAAAGCCCCCCTGGCCACGGCCGTCATATGCTCTTCTAAAGACAGCCGTGTGTCCAGGAGGACGCCCAAGTTGCGAGCCCCCTCTGTGGGGGTCAGTGACTCGCCCCCAATAGCCAGCGATGGCACCAGCTGGCTATACCGGGACGCCGGCATCCACAGCCACTCGGTCTTGGAAGGGTTGAGCCGAAGCCTGTTCCTCCCCATCCAGACCCGCACGGCCTCCAGACACTGGGACATCACTTCGAGGGCATCATTGGGGTGGTCTGGGGTGGAAATGTACAGCTGAGTGTCATCAGCATACAGATGGCATCGCACCCCAAAACCACGGATGATCTCACCCAGCGGCTTCACATAAATGTTGAACAGGAGCGGCGAGAGGACCGACCCTTGCGGCACCCCGCAAGCAAGGCGCCTCGAAGTCGACCTCTGCCCCCCTGCCAACACAGACTGCGACCGGTCAGAGAGATAGGAGGAGAACCACTGCAACACGGTGCCTCCCACCCCCAGTCCCTCCAGCCGGCGCAGCATGATACCATGGTCGATGGTATCAAAAGCCGCTGAGAGGTCTAACAGGACCAGAACAGAGGAACAACCCCTGTCCCGAGCCCTCCAGAGATCATCCACCAATGCGACCAATGCCGTCTCCGTGCTGTACCCAGGCCTGAAGCCGGACTGGCACGGATCTAGATAGACGGTTTCATCCAGGAACTGTGGGAGCTGGCGCGCAACCACACTCTCCACAACCTTCGCAACAAAGCGAAGGTTGGAGACCGGACGATAGTTTGCCAAAACGGCCGGGTCCAGAGAAGGCTTCTTGAGGAGGGGCCTCACCACCGCCTCTTTCAAGGCGGGAGGCAAGAAACCCTCTCTCAGAGAAGCATTTATGATCCTCTGGAGCCAGCCTCGTGTTACCTCCCGGGTGGCCAGTACCAGCCAGGAGGGGCACGGGTCCAATAAACATGTGGTTGCATTTAATCTCCCCAGGATCCTGTCCACGTCCTCAGGAGTCACAGGGTCGAACTCATCCCAGGTAACATTCTCAAGACCAGCCTCAGTCACCCCGCCGGGATCTACCCAGTCAGAGTCCAAGCCTTCCCGAATCTGAGCGATTTTATCGTGCAGATACTGTGCAAAATCCTCAGCCTGCCCTTGCAAGGGGTCCTCCCGTGCTCCCTGATGTAGGAGGGAGCGGGTCACCCTAAACAAGGCGGCTGGGCGGTTATCTGCCGATGCAATAAGAGCGGAAAAGTGGTTACGCTTTGCCGCTTTTATCGCCACTAGATAGGTCTTAATATGAGACCTAACTAGTGTTCGGTCGGATTCGGAGCGACTCGCCCTCCAACCACTCTCTAGGCATCTTTTCCGGCGCTTCATCTCCCTCAGCTCCTCGGAAAACCAAGGGGCCGGGCAGGTTCGGCGTCGGGTCAGAGGCCGCAAAGGCACGACTCGGTCCAGAGCACCGGCGGCTGTCCTATCCCAGGCAGCCACCAGATCTTCAGCCGAGTCGTGTGCCAGAGTTTCAGGAACTGGCCCAAGCTCCCTCTGGAACCTATCAGGATCCATCAGGCGCCTGGGGCGGAACCACCTGGTCGGTTCCGCCTCCCTGCAGTGGGGTGCAGCGGTCGAAAGGTCCAGTCTCAGGAGAGAATGGTCCGACCATGACAGGGGTTCAATAACTATATCCCCTATATCCAGACCACTCCGCCACTGACCAGAGATAAAAACCAAGTCCAGAGTGTGTCCTCCCGCGTGAGTGGGGCCATGAATTAATTGTGTCAGGTCCATGGCTGTCATGGAAGCCATAAACTCCCGAGCCATCCCAGACGCCCCCCCGGTAGATGGCAGGTTGAAATCCCCCATGACCAAAAGTCTGGGGGTATCAACCGCCACCCCGGCAATAACGTTGAGAAGCTCGGGCAGGGCCGCTGTCACGTGGCAGGGAGCCAGGTACGCGATCAGCAGGCCCACCTGCATCCCATGGCCCCACTTCACCAGGAGAGACTCACATCCGGCTATCTGAGGTACAGTGGCCTCCCTCGGATCAAGACCTTCCTTTATAACGACCGCCACCCCCCCACCCCTGCCCTGGGCCCTTGGCTGATGGAATGCGCGGAAACCTGGTGGGCACATCTCTACGAGGGGGACCCCCCCCTCTTGGCCCAACCAGGTCTCCGTAATACCTGCCAGGTCCGCACCCCCCTCCTGTATTAGCTCACAAATGAGGGGGGCCTTATTAACCACGGACCTGGCGTTGCACAACATCAGTCTAAGGCCTGGGCTCTGAGACTCTGGACAGCCGGGGAAACGAGAAGAGTCATGGGGGCCGAGGCATGCCACCGCTTGGAGATAGCGGGTGCGTGCCCCCACCACCTGATGTGGCCCCCTACTCCCGCCATATCTGCCCCTCCCAACCACGGTCCTGATAGAACTGCCCTCCACCCTATCCACACTGAGCTCCTCCACACCCCGCTCCCCGCCTTCCGTTCCATGCCCCTGTAACGGGCCTGACCTATGCCCCTCCCTCCCCACCCCCCGCCCTAAGCCCCTTAAAAGATTACAAAAAGACAATCTTAAAAAACCCCACAACCCCCTCTTTGCGGCATGCCACCTCTCGGGGTTCCAAAGCCCGTCATCGAGGTAGGCCCTCGATAGAGTGGAGGGCCAAGCCTGCGAGAGGGGGGAGTCTCGCAGACCAAGAAGCTCCGCTGCGGAATACATCTTGACCACAGAGGATGGGAGCAACCATATCCTAGGGGTCCATATAGAAGGTCCAGGGGAGAGACATGGAATGGGAGTCTCAAAAACATTTTCAACAGGACCGGTCCACTGTCCCCTCACAACAGAGGATGAAGTCAAGTTCCAGGTCGACCACAGTCCAAGGGGGGGAAGGGGGAAGACCCAACCACCCTCTCACGGAGGTCCGATCAACCATTCGACCCCCTCTTGTGGTGAGATGGCAGCGATGAACCAATGCAGACAGCACAGCATCCGGGGCTCAGGTCCAAAAACCGCCCTCTCACGGCGGTTGGTCCGATGGTCAGGTCCCCTCTGCTGGCAGATGCAAGAATTCAATATCATCATCCCGACCCAGCTGTCCCAAATCAGCACCCAGTGAATAGTGTTAAGCCAGCCATGCCCACCTAGTTGCAGCGACCCAGCTGTGACCACCCAGCCACACCTACTCAGCCACACCCACCTGACCACTGTGAGTCATCATAGTCTTATGATGCAAAGGACCATGCAACTGGTCCTTTGAGGGAAACTGTTCTATTTGGAGAACTCGGCAATAATGAGGAGGCTCGGCTGCTGAACTCAACACTTTATTGACCAAACAGTAACTAGTAACACCACAACCAAGAGTTAGCTAAAAGACAACAAGCTGCCGTCTGACAGCTGCTTAAATAATAGCTGTCAGATCGGTGGTAACCAATACGATTGCAGCAATTTCCCGCTGGCTGCCTGCTCGCGTCTAACCCAATCAGAGCAGGGCAGCAACAAGGGAGGTTCCAGCGGAGGTCATAAAAGTGAGGACTTAACACCCCTTCCCACCCGAATGGCGCATGCGTAGTCCTCCAAGTACGGTGGCCTACGTCGACTCCGCCCAGATCTCCTTAGTACTGGAGCGGCCGCTGTTGGAGGCGGAGCTGGAGTGTCCTGCGTCAGAATTTCTGGAGTTTGCGCCGAGGCGGCGGCCGGGACCATCGATAACTTGGAAGAGCCGAATAAGTCAGGTGAGGTTGCTGCCGTGGATGGTTCGGGTGTAGCCAGGTGCTCAAAGGCCTGAGTCGTTAGAGGGGAAGTAGGTGGATGCTCCGGGCCGCCACGGGTTGTAATGGGTTGGCTTGGCTGGGCGGAGGCCTCACTGACGACCCGCCGACGGAGTTGGTTTATGTGCCTCCGACATTCCCGCCCGTCATCCAGTTGGACCCTATAAGAGTATGGTCCTGTTAGATAGAGTACACACCCCGGTAACCAATGAACATTGGACCCATAGTTTTGGGCATACACCAGGTCCCCTGGTGCAAATGTCCGGAACCTGGTGGCCGTATCGTGGAGAGTGTCTGGGGCGTAGGATGGGTGCAGCCGGTCGAGAGGTGTCCGGAGTCTCCGTCCCATAAGCAGTTCCGCCGGACTAAACTTTGTGACTGGGCAAGGCGTCGTGTGTTGTGCCAGCATATACTGGTTAAGAGTATGGTGCCAATCGGATTGGGGTAAGCGGCTCAAAGCCTCTTTGGCCGATCTCACTGCCCGTTCCGCCAAACCATTCGCAGCCGGGTGGTAGGGGGCTGTCGTGGCGTGGCGGATGCCCTTCATGGCCAAAAACATCTGGAAGGGTGCCGAGGTGAACTGAGGCCCATTATCAGTCACTATTAGATCCGGCAACCCATGAGTCGCGAAAAGCCTCTCAAGGACTTTTACTATAGCCTCCGAAGTGGTGGAGTGCATTACGGCTAACTCCACCCACTTTGAGTATGCATCTACGACCACCAGAAACATTTGACCCCGGAAGGGGCCAGCAAGGTCCATATGTATTCGAGCCCAGGGGTACCTAGGGGCTTCCCATTCCCGCACGGGGGCCGCCGGGGGGGCCGGCCTTGACAGTTGGCATGTGGAACAACTGGCCACCCACTGCTCGATTTCGCTGTCCAGGAGGGGCCACCATACGAGGCTGCGGGCTAGTGCCTTCATACGTGCTATGCCAGGGTGAGCCTCATGGAGGCATGTTAGGACCTGGTGTCGCAGAGCTGGGGGAACTATGACTCTATTACCCCAAAGTAGGCACCCCTTCTGAACGGACAGTTCTTGCAGCCTGCGATGGTAGGGCAGAAGATCGGCCGGAACCGGCCCCTTCGGCCACCCCCTGCGCACGTGATCGAGGACTAGCGAGAGGGTCGGGTCCGAAGCGGACGAGGTCCGTATATCCGACGCGGACAACGGTGACCGTAATTCCTCAACCAGCAAGATAGCGGCAGTAGGAGCAGGATCTTGAACGGGAGTAGGGAGAGGGCAGTGGCTGAGGCCATCAGCATGGCCGATGGCTGAGCCCGGTTTATATAGTAGTTGGTAGGAATAAGCGGAAAGAAATTCCGCCCAACGGGACATTCGTGGGGACAAAATTTGTGGCGTCTGGCGGTCGCCGGCCAACAACCCGAGGAGCGGTTTGTGGTCCGTAATGACTGAGAAAGGACGACCATAGAGATAGTCGTGGAATCGTTTGATTCCAGCGACCACAGCCAGCGCTTCCCGATCCAATTGGCTGTAGTTACGTTCAGGGGCAGATAGCGTGCGCGAGTAGTACGCAATGGGGGCCTCTTTGCCATTAGGAAATACATGGCTCAGAACTGCCCCCACTCCATATGGCGACGCGTCACAAGTCAGGGACAAGGGAAGGCGCTCGTCATACTGGACGAGTACAGCCTTAGAAACTAGAGCGTCTTTGACGGCTTGGAAGGAGGCAGCTGCCTCCGCATTCCAATGCCATGGGGATTTGGCATCCAGGAGCCGATGGAGAGGCTCTGCAATAGATGCCTTATGCGGTATAAAAACTGCATAAAAATTGAGGAGCCCTAGGAAAGCCTGCAATTCCGACTTGTTAGTCGGGGCAGGCGCATGCTTGATGGCCGCTATTTTCGAAGGAGTAGGGTGAATCCCCTGAGCATCGATAAGGAACCCCAGGAATTCGACCTGAGACACCCCCAGGGTGCACTTACTTCTTTTTAATTTAAGCCCCGCTTCACGCAGGCGTGTCAGGACAGCTCTCAATTTAGACAGGAGATCGGAGTGGTTGGCAGCAGACACGATGATGTCATCGAAGTAGGGAACCACTCCGGGGATTCCCTGCAATAATCGCTCCATAATACATTGGAATATTCCTGGAGCAACGCAAACCCCGAATTGGAGGCGTGTACATTTAAATGCGCCCCTATGGGTAACTATGGTCTGGGCCATGGCAGTTTCCTCATCGACGGGGAGCTGCTGATAGGCTTGCGCCAGATCTAACTTGGCGAATATTTTTCCCTGCCCTAATGAATGTAATAAATGCTGAACCACAGGGACTGGGTACGGATTTGCCTGCAACGCCTTATTCAGGGTGCCCTTAAAATCAGCGCAAATTCTTACTGAGCCATCTTGCTTAAGGGGGATCACTATAGGTGTCTCCCAGTTAGAGTGGTCCACTGGTACTAAGATACCCTGTTCTATAAGCTTGTCTAGTTTCTTATCGACCCGTGGCCTCAGCGCCAGCGGCACCCTTCTAGGTTTAAGGCGGATCGGTGTAACCTGGGGATCCAAATTTAGAGATATGGGGCGCCCAGTATATTTACCCAGGCGGTCATCAAAAACATCCGCGAATTCACGGGCCAACAGGGTAGATACATCAGGCATCGTTGCGTGGACACTGGACACATTGAGGTGCAGCGCACCGAACCAGTCGAGACCTAAAAGGCAAGGCAGGTCATTCTGAACAACAATAAGCGGTAGTTTGCCAGAGAACGATTGATAAGACACCTGGAAAGTGTCATAGCCAACGGTCGGAATTGTCTTCCCCTGGTAATCTTTTAGTACAACCGGGCAAGGCTTGAGCCGGCGTTTCGACATCTTGGGCAGCAATTGGGACAATGTAGACCAAGCAATAAGGGACTTGGAAGATCCTGTATCTACTTCCATCTTGCAGGAAGCACCCTCTAAAGAGACAGTGAGGTAAATTTTGTTGACCATTGCCACTGCTGCAGCGTGGTTCACCGACATGTCAAGGGGCTCATCGTAGCGGGAGACCTCAAAACACTCGTCATGCCGGGCAGCCGGTCGTTTGCCTAAGTGGCGATTCCGCGGTGTCTCTGCTGTGGCCGACCTTGCAGGGAGGGTCGCCCGGCAAACTCGGGACAAGTGGCCTCTCTTTCCGCATCGGCGGCATACGGCGGATTTAAAACGACAATCAGCCCTTAGGTGATTACCGCCGCAGCCTAGGCAGCCATCCGGCGCGTTTTTCGTGGTTTGAGAATCCCGCTTCCGCCGCGTAGACTTGAGGCGGCCGACAGCCGCCTCGTCCTCGGAATTGCTGTCCTGACCCGACTCTTCATGATGGACAGACAACGGCTTCCCTCCGGACACGGCACCTTGCTGAAAACGTTGTATTTTGGCAGCGGATCGGTCTGACATTTCCGCCGCCCTAGCCTCATCTAAGGCCGACTTCAGGTCCAGTTCCGAACGGGCCAGCAGGCGTCGTTGAAGTTTCAAGTCTTTCACGCCGCAGACCAGTTGGTCGAGCAACATCTCATCCATGTTGCGGAATTCGTAATGGAGGGCGGCGGATCGCAAGGACGCCATGTACTCATTAATTGATTCCTCCGTTTTCTGAGATCTCTGCCAAAATGCGTGCCGCCGTGCGATACGAGAGTGAGTTGGGGCATAGTGGTTCCTCAGTCTCTCTAACAGAATGTCCCAATGCACTTCGAACACTTGTTGAGGAGCTGCCAGAGCCCTGGCAGTTCCAAAGATCTCACTACCACAGGAGCTGAGGAAATAGCCCCTTTTCCGTGCGCTGGATAGATCAGTCAACTCATTGGCCTGCAAGAAACATTCGAAACGCTCAAGATAAGCGTCCCATGTCTCTGATGCCGGGACGAACGGGGCAAACGCCGGCAGGAAGGTAGACATGTCACTTATTGTCAGAGCTCACCGCGGTGTGGATAGGATTGCCTCTCGTGCCTGAGGAACCCAGGGAGTTCGTCACTGTTCTTTTGTTTTGTTGTTTTCGGAGATAGCCGTAGCCTCAAAACGATCCCATCCTCATCGCCAATGTTCTATTTGGAGAACTCGGCAATAATGAGGAGGCTCGGCTGCTGAACTCAACACTTTATTGACCAAACAGTAACTAGCAACACCACAACCAAGAGTTAGCTAAAAGACAACAAGCTGCCGTCTGACAGCTGCTTAAATAATAGCTGTCAGATCGGCGGTAACCAATACGATTGCAGCAATTTCCCGCTGGCTGCCTGCTCGCGTCTAACCCAATCAGAGCAGGGCAGCAACAAGGGAGGTTCCAGCGGAGGTCGTAAAAGTGAGGACTTAACAGAAACCATAATGCTGATGCGGCCCTCAGTGAAATTGAGTTTGACGCCCCTGGACTAATGTATCTTGTTGGGCTGACATTAATTATGCTATATATATGTGCTTTTCAATGAAATTCCATCCTATGAAATAAGGTAGATTGCAAGGTTGTTTTTGTTGGATAATTCAGAAGTAAGATTTGCCTTTATTTGTAAGATATCACATATTGTTCATCTTTAACACAATTGTATCTTGCCACATTAGTCTCTTGACAGATCTTCCTAGAACTGGTATTTAAGCTTTTAAGTAGCTAAATGACAAAGGCAAACTTTTACCAAACAGGGATATTTCTAGGGGCTGGCATTTTCGGAACAATACCTTACTCCTTTGCAGTAAATGCAAAGCCTTAGGGTATTTTTAAGAGTAACACTTTTTCTTGCAGAGGTGGATCCCAGATGCAAGAGAACGGAGGGAAATAATATTGACTAATTCAAAGTTACCATAGATGATTGGATCACATGTTCTACAGGTGATTCTTATGTTTAGAGTAAAGCTGAATAATCAGAGATGTCACCCTAGTAAATCCATTGATCTAATTTTAATTAGTACAGACTTTGTTCAACATATTTTTTAAAATGTAAGCCTTTAAATAGAGTCATTTCAGGTTCAATTGTTTCTAAATTCAAATCTAGCAAAATGTTTAAACATCCAATTATCAGCAAGCCACTGAAAAAAAGATATACCAGAAAAGAAGTATAAAAAACATAAACCAATAATTATGCAAAACCAAATCTCCCATCCCAAATTAAAAAACCCAACATCAAAGGATGTGGGAACACCTTTGAAATCTTAATATGATGTGCAAACCTTTAATGCATTCATATTCAACAGTTAAGTAAATGAAGCATTTTTATAGAAAAAAGCATTGGGGAAATATTTTGTGGATTCAATTAAAAAAATGGAAACCATATGGTATGGTATACTTTATGTTCCCATAAAGTATATTGACTTGTACATGGTAACAGTTGCAATAATGCTTAATATTATCAATGGAAATGTTGAACAATTTTTGTCCTACTAGTCTGGCAAAGCAAGTTATGGGAGTATGCTTCACTAGCACAATTAACTTTATATCTGCAAAATGGCGCCAAGGATGAGGGCGTTCTCTGTGGGCGTACCGACCCTCTGGAATGGGTTACCCACGGAGCTCCGGATGGCCCCCTACCTCCGCTCTTTTCGCAGAGAAGAAGAGCTGAAGACATGGCTTTTCCAACAAATTTGTTGATCTGGTGGGTGGTTTTTAATTGGATGGATTTTAAATTGATTGCTTATGTAGTTATTTTTATTGCTTTCATTGTCTCAACTTCTGTAAGCCACCCTGAGTCCCTTGGGAGAAGGGCGGCATATAAGTACAAACAAACAAACAAACAAACAAACAAATAAATAAATAAATAAATAAATAAATAAATAAATAAATAAATAAATAAAACAAATATAGTAAGAATTTAATACAATATCAAAGCCATTGTGTCAAATTTTCATCAGACTTTTCTTTAATATATGGTTATAATTTTATTATGATTTGCTACATTTGTTAAACTTTGTGGATCAAGTAATAATTATAACAATTTCTTCATCTTGGCTAATGATTTATAATCAGAATATATCAATTGTAG